TTGGAGAAATGACATTTAAGTTGGAGCTTGAAGTATTATTTGGAAGAAGCCAAAAAAATGTCAAAGTGGGAGAAGCAACCATAACGTATATCCAAAGGAATATTAAAGGAAATGGGAGGATAGACCTTGACTGAAAAGGCAGAGGGAGAGTCCTGAGAGAAGAGATGGGAGTCACAGCAATATGGGCAGCATCACACCCAGGGCTTTGTAATCAGTGTTGATGATGTTGGATTTTCTCTTAAGAAAAACGGGAAGATTTTTTTTTAAAATTCTTTATTGATTAAAGTATTACATATGTGTCCTTATTCCCCCATTACCCCTCATCTTCTATTCATGCCCCACCTCTCTGTTGTCTATGTCTATTGATGAGGCTTATATGCATGCACGTAAGTCCTTTGGTTGATCTCCCCCCCTAACCCCCCTGTCCCCTACCTTCCCTCTGAGGTTTAACATGCTGATTGATATTTCTCTGTCTCTAGATCTATTTTTGTTCATCAGTTTATGGTGTTCATTATATTCTACAAATGAGTGAGATCATGTGATATTTATCTTTCTCAACCTGGCTTATTTCACTTAATATAATGGTCTACAGCTCCATCCATGTTGTTGCAAATGGTGAGTTCCTTCTTTTTTACAGCAGCATAGTATTCCATTGTGTAGATCTACCTCAAGTTTTTAATCCACTCATCTGCTGATGGGCACTTAGGCTGTTTCCAAATCTTAGCTATGGTGAATTGTGCTGCTATGAACATAGGGGTGCATATATCCTTTCTGATTGGTATTTCTATTTTCTTGGGATATATTCCTAGAAGCGGGATCACTGGGCCAAATGGGAGTTCCATTTTTAGTTTTTTGAGGAAACTCCACACTGTTCTCCACAGTGGCTGCACCAGTCTGCATTCCCACCAGCAGTGCAAGAGGGTTCCTTTTTCTCCACATGCTCGCCAGCACTTGTCATTTGTTGACTTGTTGACTTGCGGGAAGGATTTGAAGAGTTTTAAATTTGAAAGTGACTCAAATACATCTGTGTTTTTCACCAGTCTTTCAGACTGGCTGTTCTGTGGAGAACAGATAATAGGGAAGCAGTATTGAATACAGGGTGCCTTTTAGGGGATGACGGTGCCTGGAATTCAGGAAGTGGAAATGGATTTGGAGATAAGCACATAGATTCTTGAAACATTTAGAAATAGAATCGATAAAATTTGGTGACTGACTAAAGAACCCTTATAAACCCAGATCTGCTTTCAGTGCAGTATTAGGTTAAAATAATAATTATTTTAGAAGAAAAATATAACTGGAAGTATTTTAGAGATTTACTCAGGCTTGTGAGGAAATGTCAAATATATTCATGGTATTACATTTAATCCACAATAAGTCTTCTTTAAGAGTCCTCTATTGCTATCTCTCACTCTCTGTGCCTTTCACACATTTATGAAGAAGCTTAAAAACAAAACCCTCTCTTGCTGCTCATTCCTTTTATGTGTGTTCTCAGAAGTCCCCCAGCATCTCTCTGAAAAAGCTCCTCATTGTAGCCCTGATCTTCATGATCAGGCCTGACAGCCTCTGCGGAGTGCCTTGCGATAGTCAATTGTTAAATTTCCAGGAATTTTAAACACTGTCTTTATTAAAAATTAAATCATATATTCTGTTTCAGAAAGAAGTGTGTGTGTGTGTGTGTGTGTGTGTGTGTGTGTGCGCGCGCGCGCGCGCACTTAACCAAAGAACTTATATGCATATATGCATAACCCATCTATAGACAATAGTTTGGTGAAGGCCTGGGGAGGAGGTGGGAACAGAGAGGAGGGGACACATGGGGGGAAAAAGGGGACATTTGTAATACTTTCAACAATAAAGATAAAGTAAAAAAGAAAAAGATAAATCATTTAAATGTAAAATTAAATACATTGCATTTAAAACATTGAACATTTGCCCAGGTCAGTTTGTTCAATGGTTAGAGCTTTGGTCTGTGCACCAGAGGGTCTCAGGTTTGATTCCAGGTCAAGGACACATACTTGGGTTGCAGGTTTGATCCCTGTTTCAATTGGGGCCCCTTTGGGAGGCAACAAATTCATGTCTCTCTCACATTGATATTTCTCTTTCTCTCTCTTTTTCTCCCCCAAAACTTCCACTTTTTCTAAAAACCAATGGAAAACACACACACACACACACACACACACACACACACACACATCCGGTGAGGATTAACAAAATAAAAAACAAACAAAAAAAATTTGAACATTTACCACCACATCCAGGATTTAAAACATGGTCTTTATTAAAAATTAAATTGTATAAATGCACAACTAAATACATTACATTAAAAAACATTAAATGAACATGTAATGAACATTTATTACCATATCACTGTCTATGAGGCGACTGGATAAATGGGTCTGAGCTCCAGAGACAAATTTGGGATGGAGATACTGTTGTGGGAGTTAGAACATAGATTTGGGGCAGCTTCATGGGCTGGCGACAGGAGCCTACATATAGAAGAAAGAGGTGCTAGGTTTAATGCTCTGCCTTTGCCTTCTTAAAACTATTAATTTTCAAACAACATGTTTTCATTTTGCACTGAGCTGATCTAGGTGCCATCCATCCCTCAGAACAGCTATTCTGCCTCAATTCATCTACTTGGCTGCGCTTATGCAAATATTCCCACTGGTTCCCTTAACACACATATTCTTTCCAACCAGCTCACAGAATTTCCTGCTATTTTCCCTCTGTCATGCTTCTTTCTCTTTACTCTTCATTGGAATATTGTTAACTTGCAAGGCATTAATATGTTAAGTAGCTTTTAATACAAATGTTTCTGTCCAGATGGCAATGTTCTACATACTCACCTCTCAGTTTGGTATTACGTGGTGGTGAAAGGGATTCTGGGATCAGAGGATTGGGTTTGAATTTTTGCTGTGACCAGAAGTAAATTTCTTTGGCTTCTCTACATCTCAAGTTTCCTTGTTTGAGAAAAGACTAGTATTTACTTCTGAAGGTTATCGAGAACATTGAATTAGATAATCTACGTAAAGTGGCTAATAATGCCTGCACATGGTAAGTGTTCAATTAATGGTAAGTTATTATAAAGATTATTTTATTCTATTGATGACTTAGGAACACCCAACAATCAAATTTGCACATGACACATAGTAGCAAGATCTTAGGAGGAATAAATGGAACCCTGGCATTGATGAGCTGGAAGATTTTAATTTTTTAAAACGATTTTCCTGATCCGACAATATATTTGCACCAGAGAGAACTTCATATTCTCAAAGATCCTCATTCTTCCCTATCTCATCTAAATCTCCACCAACAGCATGGGTGTGGGCTCTTGGGCACAGTGTTGGCTGCTCCTGGACAGAGAATGGATTGGCAAAGTGTATCTGCCCACGTACTGCTCCCAGCTGCAGGCAGCTCACGGGCACACCACTAGCAAGTTGAAGGCATTGGAGACTCCTTTCCTGAATTGTCTCTGACCTCTGTGACTGAGTCACTTGAGAGAGTACTTGGACCCACGCACATTTGAGGATGAACTGCTCCTTTATTGCTTCTTTCTGGACAACAAACTGATACTGTCCCCTGACAAGGCTTACCTGTGTAAGAAGCCTGGCTGACTCCACCCGTCCCCCCAGGCCTCCCCCACCCCTCCCGGTAAAATGGGCCACACACCAGTTCTCTCAGGCACTAGCCCACCACAAGCAGGATTGGATAGAGAAGCAACTGGAGGGTGCACTGAAGGAAGAAGTGCTCTCCCTCACCATCAGCAGCTCCAGCTCCCCCCTCCTTATGTTTTCACACCTGCCATTTTTTAGGACTTGCTTCTTTTCACTCTTTGCTAGCCATTGTGTGTGGGCAAAATGTAGTCACACAGCCTTCTTGAGGCTGTGAAGAAGCCTTTCTCAGCATAAAGCTATACATGTCTTAGGCACGCAGAACACCCCAGGTTATTCTCTTCACAAACTCATGTTTCCCTAACTCCTACCCAGCACCATGCCTGGCAAGGGAGGCGTCCACTTACAGGATGCCACCTGGCCTCCATTCAGCCCCCAACCACTCTACCTCTCTCTCCCCTCTGCCCCAGGCAGCGGGCAGCAAACCCCACAAGGAGCCTGGGCCCAGTCCACTCAACCTGCTCCCCGCGCGCGCGGCTGCAGTTGCTATGGAAACGGCGGGAACTAACAACTCGGGTCCCAGCGGGGTGAGCGGGCCCTTGGAGGCGGTGGCAGTGGCAGGGCGGTGTGAGTGACGGGCCGCGCCTCCGAGGTCACTGCAGAGCCACCGGAGCCCTCGCCCCGCTCGCTGTCCCACCCCCGCGGGACCTCAGCATCGCTGGGGACAACCCCCACTCCCCGCCCTGCCCTGGTTCTCCCGCCCGCCGCCCGCCCGCCGGTTCCGAAGGCGCCCCTGGGAGCTTTGCGGGGAGGCGCCGGCCACAGGAGAGAGGGGGGTGGGGGAGACTGGGGAGCGGCGTGTCCTGCACGCTCCAGTCTCCTCTGTCTCTGGATGCACCTTTGAGGTTCATTTTTGGGCAAAGAAACATCTGGGTAACTCCAGCCGGAACCTTCCTTGCTTTGGGAGCCAGCGGGAGCCTGAGAGGTGAGGGCGCCGGGAGGAGAACACTAAGCTGTTTGCACAGGATAAGGCACACGGGATGGGAGGGATTGAGCTTCATCTCTTTTGTAACGTGTGTGGTGTGTGTCCGCACCGCTCCTCCCCGCGCCCACGCGCTGCTGTTCCCGCGGCCACACCTGGGCGGTCACACCTGGGCCCGCCGCGCGGGAGCAGGTGCGGGTGCGGCGCCGGCGGCCGCGCTGATTGGCCCGCGGCTCCGGAGTCCGTGACAGCGCCGCCGCCGCCGCCGCCCGTGGGCTCCGCGGGGCGCAGCCGGGCGCTCGCTCGGCCGTTGCTCGCTGTGACCCGGTGGTCTGTTTCCCGTCCTTCCAGCCGGCGATCCGGCCCCGGGGCGGCGGGACCCCTGGCTCCAGCCGGGGCGTCGCGGGAGGATGAGCGGCACCGGCGCCAGGGCCAGCCACCGCACGCAGCCGGTGGTCAAGAGCGTGCTGGTGTACCGCAACGGGGACCCCTTCTTCGCGGGCCGCCGCGTCGTCATCCACGAGAAGAAGGTGGCCAGCTTCGACATCTTCCTGAAGGAGGTGACGGGCGGCGTGCAGGCGCCCTTCGGCGCCGTCCGGAACCTGTACACCCCGCGCACCGGCCACCGCATCCGCAAGCTGGACCAGATCCAGAGCGGCGGCAACTACGTGGCGGGCGGCCAGGAGGCCTTCAAGAAACTCAAGTGAGTCCGCCCGCCCGCCTCGGCTGGGTGCGGGGGTGTGCGGTGAGGGTGTGCGGTGGGCATCGGGAATGAAGAACCCCGTTCAGCCTAACCCCAGTGGGTGGAGGGGCTGGGACTGTGGGGTTGGTGCCTCTCACAGCTCCCGGGTGGGGTGAGAATGACTGGAAAGGAATTTCACTTAGACATCAATAGGAACAATCTTAAAGCTTATGTGTAAGGAACAGGAAACTTCAAAAAAACAAAAGTGACCAAACGGATACTTGAGCATTTTCTGTGGGTTTTTTTTTTTTTCCCACCCCAACACCTCTTTCTCTCTCTCTTTTTTTTGAACCTGACACTTAGTTAAAATCATTTTTAAGTATTAGATATTATATAATCGCCAGAGGAGAAAATCGCTCTCTGCATCCCTCCCCTGACCCCGTTTACATTCTTTCAACCTTTCATTCCAAGTAGAAGTGACCACACCCCACACTGACCGTCCTCCCTCACAATCCGCATGTTGCTGCTGTTGGTGTACAACTTGGAAAACTTGCCTGGCTTACTGTACTGGTCCACAGGTCTGTCTCTAAGTACCTGATGGCCAGACCCTCAAGGGCAGGGGTCATTATTGCTGCTCATCCCAAGTTCCTGGCAAGGAGCTCGCTGGCTTGGTGAATGAGCGAATTGTGTTCAGGTCTCTGAGGGGGAAAAAGATAATTAAGGCATGACTCCTTGTCCTTCTTTCGGAGTTGACAATCTAGCAGGAGAGAGCCTACATGCATATCAACGATTTACTGTAGAGCGTAAAGAAGTAAGTGCAATTAGAAAAACAATTCAAGTTAAGTGGGAGTGCAGAGTTGAGAGAGATTATTTCTGGTACGGTTGGGTATTGGAGGCAGAATTTAACATCCCATTTCTTTCTTTCTTTCTTTCCTTCTTTCTTTCTTTCTTTCCTTCTTTCTTTCTTTCTTTCTTTCTTTCTTTCTTTCTTTCTTTCTTTCTTTCTTTCTTTCTTTCTTTCTTTCTTTCTTCTTCTTTTTTTTTTTTTACAGCTTTATGGATATTCAGTTCATGTCACATGAACCTCACCCATTTAAGTGGGTCTTAGTATATTTATGGAGCTGTGCAGCCATCACCACAAATTAATGTTACAATACTTCTGTCACTCCCAAAAGAAACCCTATACTTCCTAATTTCCCCTCCACCCCATACTCTGTAACAACAAATCCGCTCTGTCTTTATGGATATGTCTGTTCTGGTTGTTTCATATAAAAGGAATCATACTATATGTGCTCTTTTATGTTCCTGAATTCTTTCACTTTACATAATGTTTTCAAGGCTCCTAATCCATGTTGAAGTATGTTTCAGTTCTTCTTCTTCTTTTTTAATCATTGTGTAGCATTCTGTGGTATGGATATGCCACATTTTATTTATATCTATTAATCAGTTGATGGATGCTTTAATTGTTTCATTTTTGGATAGTATGAATAATGCTTTATGAACAATCATGCACAAGTTTTCATTTCTCTTGGGTATATACATAGGAATAAAATGACTGGATCATAAGGAAACTCTATGTTCCATAGTTTTTAATATAACATTTTAATTAAAATTCAGCTTGGTCTCAGAATAGAAAAAAAATCTTTATCATAAAATCTGTGCTTGTGAACTCTGATTTTAACTGTACATAAGTATTTCCTGAATATCACTGAAGTTGTCTACGGTAATGTCATCCTTCTTTTCCTAAGTTTGTTTAAATTGAGTTGTAGGTGTTCTGCTTTTGTTATGCCAGACAGTCTTTTTATGGAAGCTGAGGGATACATTTGGATATAGTTTTCTGTTCCCTGAAACTTCCTTTAGTGTATTTGTCTAACTCTCTAGAAAAGAACCAAATGAAATTGCGTGTTTTAGAGAAAGTTAGAACTTAAAACTGAAAATCAGGAGACTTGAGAATGAGTTGTTTATCAGCTCCTTGGTCAGCCACTTGACTCGGCTCATCAGTTTCCTCACACAGATAGGGAACATCCTCATTTCTGCCTCACAGTGTTGTGATAAAACGTAAACGCTGTGGATGTAACTGTGTTTTGTAAACACCAAAACGTTACATAAATGTAAAGCGTCACTGTGTCTAATTCCTTTCATCATATACTTTGGTGATTTTCATTAAATAATTTCCACATATAGCAATGTCATGGGAATGGGCATCTGCTTCAGAATCTACTAACAGTTCAAAATTGTAGATTCACTTTAGTAGTTCATATTCTCTTTTGTTTATGTGGCACCAGCTCAAAAGATAAAAACAGGTACAGTTTCAAACCAAATAGAAGGTGCACTTCAAAATTGCTCTTTATATATAAGAGATTTGTATGGTTATTCTTACTTTTAATTCATACATACACACACGAAACTGAGCTTGTTATGACAGTTTCCATGGTTAGTTTTCCATGCTGACAGGTGAATAGTTAATTTGTGTTAAAGTAGTGGTATCCATAGTTATCCTGATGGAAGCCAAGAAGATTTAAATGCTGATTATATTGAAAGCTTAGCAGTTGTAAGTTTATATAACACATGAACCACCTATGAGAACAAAAGAAAGTCCAAAATATATCAAGTGTAATTATATGAATTAGAGCCTAAATGTTGTTGGAAAAGGTAGCAATGGTGGGAAAATATTTTTCAAATGAAAATGATCAACTATCTTCTTCAATTTATTTTACTCAGATATTTTTGAAACCATAATAAAACCTTTGTTTTATAGAAGAGAATTCTAGAAATTGTTATTGTCTGTGCATTTATGGGAGTTGACTCTACTAGATTAATCTTGTGGGTCTGAGATCACTTTCTTGCTCATGACAAACTTTTTATTTTATGTCAGAAATCAGCCGGCAGATTTGCAAAAGAGCCATTTATAAATGGCTAAACAGAGGGAGTATTTACAATGCCTTATGTAAATACTAATATGTGAGGGACATACATGATACTCTCCAGGGTTATAGATTAACTAACGCATTCTATACAAATAAGCAAACAACAACAATGAAATAGCCAAAATTCATTATAAACTTAGCTGCAATTCATTAATTACAGTAGGTGAGGTAGAGAATCTACCTACCTATCTTTCTATCTAAGGTTATATATTAAATGCTAGATTTAAAAAAAATATATATATTTTATTGATATTTTACAGAGAGGAGAAAGGGACACAGATAGAGAGCTAGAAACGTCAATGAGAGAGAAACATCGACCTACCGGGGATGTGCCTGCAACCAATGTACATGCCTTTGACCGGAATCGAACCTGGGACCTTTCAGTCCCCAGACCGATGCTCTACCACTGAGCCAAACCGGTTTCGGCTTAAATGCTAGATTTATATTTATTTTTATATTGAAGCATTTATTTAGCACATTCTATGTATGAAGCACAGTGGAACTAGCGCACAGTGATGGACTTATAGCTTGAAGTTGACACAGATATATAATTTTCAAGTGGTGCTTATGCTATAGCTACTAAAGAATGATCACTATACTTAATGTCAGTAGCAAATCTTAATGGAATAACAGGGGTCTCTGGAGGTTAACTAGTCCACCATCTGTCTGTCATTTGAACCAATTACTAAACCATCCCATGTGGCTGAGCATTTCTGTGTCATTTTAAAGTGCTCTCTTAGGGAAAAAGATTTCCCAACCTTTGAAGTTGTTACTCTTTTTCATGCTACGTGTACTTAAACCTAAAGTCTGTGATTAATGAAACTATTAAGCTGCTTTAAAGACAAACTAGTCTTCATATCTAAATTACCATAAGAATCAGAAATACCATATACATAATAAGCAGCTAATTATTGCAGGAGGGGATGGGGGTGTTCCCCAATAGAAGTATGTATTTCTAAGACTTCAGTTACATTGAAGTTTAGAGTAGCCATGTGTCAGCTCTGTTTGGTGATGCTGAAATAATTTTCTACTACAATTGCTTTTAATTAGTAGCTATTGATTTTTGCTGTAGGTTTAAGTATTTCCTATAGCTTGCTTTATCTATCTATATAAAAGGCTAATATGCAAAGTTTCCCCTCAGGAGTTCTACCAAGAGAAGGGGAGTTCGATCGATCGCTCGCTTTGACATGTGCTGGCCACCAGTGGGCAGCACAGAATATGGCAGGCCACCAGCAGTGGTGGCAGAGCTCTGAGGGAGTGAGGGAAGGAAGAGGTAGGGAGGTAGGGAGGCAGGGAACCTGATGGGCCCTGATCAACGGCCAGGCATAGGGACCCAACCAATGCATGGATTTTGTGCACTCTAGTTATTTAATAATTTAAAAAAAGAAATGTGTACAACTGACTCAAAGTCAATAAAAGGAACCCTTATTGTTTGTTTGTTTTGCCCTGCAGTTACTTGGACATTGGGGACATCAAGAAAAGACCAATGGAAGTTGTTAACACAGAGGTAAAACTAGTAATGTTTTAAAGCTTTAAGTAAATAACAGTGCTATTTTTGTGTTTCTTATGATGTCTGCAGAGACTTAGATGCTATTCTAATCATAACAGATTAGTTGTCTAATGTTTATAAATAGGATGTTATATATTTTAAGACAAAGATCACTCTTACTTTGGAGCATTATCAGAAATGAAGAGACTGGGTAGATATCCTAAACATGTAGGATTAGACACAACATGTTCTTGTGTTTAGCTAAGTGTTTTAGCTATGTGTTTTCTGATTGAAATTCAAAGAAACTATCCTGGCAAGTGAGAGGAGATTCTGAGCACAGTTATGCCAATATTTACTAAATCTACTTCCTTGTCTTCAATTGCTTCTGCCACCCTATGTCTGAAATTGCCATGATCATCCTGACTGCCCTGAGGCTTCCAAGAGACCCTATTGATTTTCTCTTGATGTCAGGAAAACACCTCCATTTTAATTGGCATTGAAGTTCACTTGAGCGTAATTACTAGCAGCATGCATGAAGGTTGAAAATGAGTCTTGTGAAATAGATTTTTAAAATACTTTCTATATAGTTTCTGAATCCCTAGTGGAATTTTCAGATATCCTTTAGGATGTATTCTTTATTAGTGGATGGAAAATAGATGAAAACAAAGTTAAGACAACAACAAACTTCAATGTCCCAGTGAGACAGGAAAAATTATAGTTCAACTCAGACTGTTATTCTTTTCCCCAGCTCAGACTTCCCCTCTTCCCATTTTGACCCATGTAGACAAGTGCTTCCAAGGTGTGCGGTTCCAGGCAAGAAATGGCTGATAGAAAAAGCATTTTCTCATTTGTAGCGCAGAGCCCTAGAGAAACTCCTCAACTTACGCCATTTCCTCTTGCATTGTGTTTATACCCAACAGGACCAAATAGGTCTCTCTAAAAAACAAACAAACAAACAAAACTTCATAAGCAGAAGTTCTAATTCTGCAATATTTGAAGAATGTGAAGTTAATTTCATTATTCAAATAATTTGTAGAAAGAGGTGCTAATCCCAGACATTGTTAAATATAATTAATGTCCATGTTTGTAAGTTAGGTTTTCAATGTGTGTTAAACTGCTTATTAGTGAACGTGATAAGCTTTTGACTTAAAATAGGCAGAAGTATATGTTGTTTTTTTTAATTGAGTTTATGTTGCCACTAAAGAATGAGCGCTAGTTAATATCTATTTAGTTAAAAAAAAAAAAAGGAGAGATTAGTGAATTATTTATGGATATAATTTTGTTTGAAGGATACACAACTATTTGAAGTAAGCTACCTTGCATGAAATTGGTGACTGTACACAAATTTCTGCAATGGGAGTTGAGATGTGTGACTTTTCCCCAAATGTGAGCATATATTACTCTGGATACCAGTGTTTTTTTATGAAGAGATTGTGCCTGGCAAAGCACAACAGGTGTGCAATAATTTTTTTTAAAATATACTTTTAAAAAAAGATTGTGATTAACAATGGAAGCATTTGCTAAATGTTCCTACATTTTGGTGTTGTAGCTATTGTTTTCTCTTTTCTTTGGACCTCTGCGTGAGCCACACAGACAAGATTCTGATTTATGAACATACATCTCACAGTGAAAAAAAACCCATTCATCTCCAACTAAAAGACTGTATCTTTTCCACTTTATTTCTTCCTGGTAATCTCCTCCCCTTCTCCATCTCTCTTTCTGCACTGACACTGCTATAGCCTTTCATTTCTCAGTCCTTCCCCATTAAGTCTTCCAAAGGGGAGAAAAACAAAGAAGTAGAAGAAATTTGGGATGCAAGGGAAATGGGAAGAAGTGGTGAAAAACTCCTTGTTCACGTTCTTCAGCACCTTCCCTCACCGCCCCAAGCTCCATGCTCCCACTTGGTTCCTGGGGCCCTCTCTCCCATTGTTGTCTGCCCAGACTTTCCTCCCAGTCTAGACAAGCAGTATGTTCACTTCCCTCATTTTGCATCCCAGTCTTAATGGTCAACACAGAGATTCTCCCCCCAAATTTCACACCAATGGCATTCTCAAAGCCTGCTTGAGCAAGGGGAATTCTGACTTTCATTGCCCAAAAGGGAGAGTTTTGGGTTCCTGGCATCTCAGAATGGAACTCTGAATGCATGTTCTCATAGACATACTACTTTAACTAAATTCATGATGGTTCTGTGGTATTATTACGCCCGTTTTAGGGTAGAGCACAAGTTAAAAAGGCTTTTGTGGGCTGCTTTGAGAACCTAACTTTTGTGTGTGTAATTCTTTGTTGTATGTAATTTTTACTGTGGAGAGATACCACTCTCTCTTCCTCAAATTATTTATATTCCAACTTTAGAATTCAGTACATTTTTAAGTTAGAAGATGTCTGTATTCAAAATTTGAAAACTGACTTGGTCAACACTGGACTTCCACAAAAGTTTTAGATTCTGGTTTTTCTTTTTAATTTTTATTTAAGTAGGGGATTTCTTTTCAATGTTTGTGTCTACTGAGAACAGATTACACACCTTGTTAAATACTGTGGATGATCATTGTTCTTTGGAGTAAGATAACATATTCTATTTCCAGTCACAGGGAAGGATTCACAGAATCACCTTTGAAGTGGGTTTAGGACATAAGTTATATATTTGGAGGGTTTAGAGTTGTTTTAGTGCAGTAGCAGCACAAATATTATTTATTCCAAGATGTTTCAGTACGAAGGGTGAGTAAAATTACTTATCAAAATTGGGGGGATTTCCCTCAAATCTGAAGTAATCTGGTCCTGTTTGAATTTTCAGTGCCAGGCTGGATAATAAAGCCCATCATATCAGTATATGTTACCTTTACAGTTAGATGGGATATCGTAGAATGTGTGGCATCAGGTCCCGGCCACTGTGGCCAACGTTTTAGATGTGACAGGCAATGCAGCAGTGAGGCCTGGGAGTTGGCAGCATTCCTTCCTCCCAGAGCACCCTCCCCAAGTGCATCCTGCATTCTGGTTGCTGTTTAGTTAATAATTTAGACACAATGTTTATCCACTTGCTGACTGCAGGTCACTGTCACTAGAATGTGCATGTCACCTTGACACGTGAAGGCCTTTCTGTGGTTCCTTCCTCGCTTTTTCGTTCCATGAAGATCACCTTTGAAGACACACCGAAAGTACAGCCAGAGCTCTTCCTCTTCCTCCTTGAAAGTGGTTCATACAGAGAAAGGCAGGACTTGAATGGGCTTCTTCTGCTGACCCAGGAGAAGCACAGGGGCTTATTTGGCCAACACACCTGGCAGCAGGAGGAAAAGGAAGAGATGGAAAAAAGAGGGAGAAGAAAAAGGTGACAGGAATAAGACAAATGGGAGGTGACTCTGTGGTGGTTTGCCCTGGCTCTGGAGACAGCAGTGTGTGCTCAGAGCAGACTTCCCTTGCTTCTCTCCACACCCGGCTTGGTTCTACTAACATTCAGATAAAGAGATCTTCCAGAGACCCCTGCATGCTCACATCCGCTCCTCAGTCATTTTGTATAGCTATCTTCCCGCTTCCCCTGCACCACAAAGATGTTTTGCTCATCTTCTGGCCTTGATAGCTCATCCTTGCTCTATGTCTTCCCAGTCCTCTCTTTGACTCTCATTATTCTCTGATTACATGATGTGTAACAACCCTTACAGGGCACAGATGCTTCTCAGAGGACTGAGAAGGTACAAATGGGATAGCGGGTGTGTGTCAGCCAGTTTGAAATGGGTTTAAATATAACTGAATTTATTTTTGGCCTGTTTCTTTTGAAGTTTTGAGAGTGTTCTTTTCTTCAACTTGACTAAAAAGTATTACTTAATACTTTTATGTGTGAATCAAAGCCAATCTCTGACTAAAAGAGTGAAAATTGACTTGGAAGAGACAAAGGCTGTTTTGCCATCGTCAAGTTTGGATGATAGACACTGAGCGAGCCAGCTGTAGAGCTAGCAGAGAACAGTGCTTCTCCCATAGCCTGGCAATAGCCGTACAAGGCCTCGAGGGCCCCATATTGAAGTGATGATTGCTTTCTTACTGCTGACACTCCCAGACCTGCTTTGCTGTAACCATATTAACAGTTACCATGGCCACTACCTGTTCAGATTTTGTTTTAGGGATAAAATTAGTAGTTAAACCTTTGTGTAATACATTTGTTGTCACGTTAGTATAATTTAGAGCTATATTAAAGAAGTTCTGGTCACTCAACAAGGATTTACTGTGTACTTGCTGTACTCCAGGCACCGGGTTCATCTTTGGGGACCATACAACATGCCCCTGACTGCATGGAGCTTGTACTCTTTAGTCTTCCTCGCCTGCTGTGCTTCGATTTTAACTCTACCATCATTGATCTTTGCTGCAGAACTTGGTATAAAGTAGACTTCTTTGATTGAGGGGTCATATTTTGAGAGCTAAACAATTTTTTAACTTTACTATTGATGGGTCAGGGAATCATGGGACTAATTTTTGAGGAGTAATAAACACCTAATTTTTGGAAAAGTAGTTCTGTTTTACTGAAATTATAAACACCTAAACGAATTATAACCTGAATTAACAGCTGCAGTTGCCCATCTCCTTCTCTCAGGATAAAATTAGCTTAAACCTATATCACCTAACCTTTGCAATGTCTAACATTTCTCCCAAGATTTCTGTGAATTTCTGCAGGGATTCTTATCTTCTTCATGCTCACATCTCACGAGCTTCTGTTTCCAAAGTATTAGCTGAGTTTATGGACTGAATTGTTCCCCTACAGGTTCTGCCTGTCAAAGACCCCACCAACTCAGAGGTAAAATCTTCCCATTGATGTCCACACAAACACTTGATTCACACAGGTCTGTGTGTGATGAAATTTACCTGTGGTTTGTCAAAATGAAGTAGGTTTTGTAGGTAGTACAGAAGTGTCAACAACACAAAACTTAATATCAGACTTTTTCATTTTTAAAGAATATCTTGATCTTATATGTCAATTTAGTCTTCAGCTTTTGGCCAATTTCTTGCCCTCCTCTCCTTCTCCTCTGTTCCCCACA